GTTTTGAGCTGTAATACAATTAGCCAGAGGGTGCAACTCACCTGACACAATATATTTCATTTATAACTAACCTAAAAAGAATCTCACCAACAAGCCTATCCACAACAATTGATACTTATACCTAGAGCTTTATGTATATAGCTTAAAGTTTTCATGCATTTATTTATTGCCAATCTTATGGAATATTTGTACATGGAGCATTCATTTAAAAAAGAAAAATTAAAACATTACATGCAAATAGGAAAATGAAATGAATAAAGTCAACAAAAGCAACTTACGATGAGACATTACGGTACAAGTGGTCATATGATTTTCGAAGCTTTTCATATGCAGAGACGTTCTCATCACTAAGTTCTCCTTTTGCATTTAAAATCTTAGAATTTTCATGCTCCATTAGTCGAAGTGACTATCAAAAAATAAAAGCCATTAATAATCACATGAACAATATCATTGCAACAAATATCTACCTAAAAAGCAGTGCTTAGAATGCAAAGTGAAGAACAACCAAAATTAAGTGTTTACAGAGGAAGAGTCTCACCGAATGCTCAGATCGAAGCAGTTCTGCTGCAGCATCATAAAATGCATAAAATGCTTTTCGGAAACTTTTCTTATGATCACCTGTGATGTTCAGTCCCTTCAAAAACTGTATCATCATATCAGTGCAGAAATATTCAGGACAGACCAGGCATGGTAGTACAATTCTAAACAAAATCACACAACAATTATAAAATGTGAGTAAAGGTTGACTAAATGGAATAGAAAAGATAATGGAATGAAAAAATGTGAATTTGTAGATAACAAATATCTTTTATATCCCTAAAAATATAATACATAAAGAAAAAAAAAACAGTTATTATTAAGTAATAATGTCTCAAGTAAACAGATATTACAAATTTTGTTTTTATGCAAGGAAGAGAAAACTCTCCCCTCACACCAACCAAACTCCCCATTAGAGTCATAGATAACATCAAATGGAATTCACAATAGGGAGAAAAAGATTTACCTCTTCATGAATTTCTTGACCAGTAACAGGAAGTCCTAAAAATATTCTCCCTTGGCGAGCAAAGCTAGAAAGAAGAGTCAAACTAGTTTGTGTAGAGTCTATGTCTTTTAGCTGTTCTGCACTGGTAAGATCTTTTATAATGTTGATGAAAATACCACAATCTTCTATAACACCAACAAAATAAAGTTCCAACAGAAGTTTCAGAGTGCTGCGCTTCTTCATTGCCTTCAAGTTTCTGTCTGCATCCGATTCATCCCCAGATTTCCCAGGGGAGAAAACTTTGAGAAGCCCTTGAATCAGGCTTGGTGTGAAGTCCTTGTACCTTTGGTGAAGCAAAGAGCAGATCTTTCGGAAAAGCAATATAAGCCAGGAATGTCTCAGGAATCATGTCTTTAAAAACACAATTGCAAACAGTAAATGTATAAAGAGATCTAGCAACTAAATGGAAGAAACCTACATTCTAATTTCTAAAAGGTACTGTCTTTACGTACTGTGCCTAAAAGCCAATTGAAATGACAAAACCAGAATTTTTATCTAAAAAAGGCCCACAAATGATAAGCATTGAAACAAGGAGCTCCAGCTCAGGATGAAAAGCAAGCCAAAGGACAGCTAGAGAAAACACATGAATACTTATTTTACCAACTTAAAGTTACAATTTTGTACCCTTGGAGTTTTAGAATACTCATCTAGATTTGTGCAACAATCTAAAGGGGTACATGCAGATTTACTGCCCTTTAACATGTTAACTACAATTAAACAAAGAACCTCCATTCCACAAAGAAATCATTTCTAATGTGTAGAAACAAGAAACCCAAATGACCCACATTCACTTAAAGCAATGCAGAATGCCCAAAAGAAAATGATAAGAATGAAAAATGCAGAGCACCCACCTGAACTGCCGCATGTATATCTGATGTTCTAAGCTTGGCTTCGCATATAGCTGCCACAGCTTCACTGACAAATTTGCTTAAGTTGACACTTCGCAATTCATCCATCAGTGCTTCTCGCTGCTCTTCATTTATCTGCTTCAGTTTCTTAATAACTGCAGTGTTGCGCTTGATGCTAGAATCCAGTGTCCTAAGAAATCCTGAGTCTGTATATGAAATATACTCATTGAATATCCATGAAACAAAAATGATGACAATTTAACATTAATACAAGAGAATGAACCAGACATGGATTCCTGCGTTGCAAAAAGCTGTTTGAATAAAAAGAAGATGAAGCAATTTCATATTTTAATTACAAATTTTCCTCTCATAAAAAGAATTGGATATATTAAACCATGGGTAACAAAATTCCAGCTGTGGAGCTGACAATGGCTTGTGAAGCCAGCCCTAAACAAACACATGTACACAAACACATATTTATGAAGCTATAGCTAATAGATGTCCACAGCAAAAAGATGGCTAAACCATGTTCATATAAACAGATGGTTTCTGAAGGAACCAAACATCATTATCATCCATGTTTTCCATCAAGAAGTGTAAAAGAAACATACTGCAAGAAGGAAATTATACTCCCTCAGGAAAAGCTTTGTTTTCTAGAAAGGGGGAAGAGGCTAGTGGTCTCTTTAAGTATAAGAGGTAAACTCCATTTTGAAGAGTGTAATTCTTGCCAATTGCAGCATAAATCGAAACATGTGTATAAATACTGTCAATATGAGTGAAAAAAAAAAACTAACCAGGCCTTTCAGGACTCAAATTGCTTTGACGTAGAGCCATTTTGGCCTCAATTGACCTCTTCATTTCATCAAGGCGAGCAGCAGCTTCCTGCACATGATAGAAAGAATCAACTCAATTTAAATCAGTTCATATCAGAAGAAATATACCATCCACAAATTTCACATATCAAAATTTCACTTTGCCATCCCCAGCAAAAGACACAATAGAATCAACATGTTATGTCATTGTAATTGTGACATTTTATTAGATTTATTAGTAATATTTAGAATTAGAGGAATAGCTGTAAGGTGGTTATAGATATAGCCATTAGTAGTTATGAGGATTTGAAGCCTATATATACTAGAGATGCAAGTGTAATAGTTATGCTATGTTAGTCTATTGAGCATCATTGCACTATTCAGTCTCTCTTTCTCTTTTCTCTCAACCTCTCTAAATTCTCTCTGCCTTCTATTCTTCTCTCCTCTGTTTCTCATCTCTTTCTCTCTCTTTTCCATATTTTTCTTTTATAACAGTGGTATCAGAGCCAGGTTCTCCTCAGCAAACACCTCTGATTTTTCAAGGTGTATAGTGATATGTTCAAAAACTTAGAAAGCAATAGAAGAAAGGTTGGGAGAATTGAACAAAGGATAGCAACAATTGATGATCTCACCGATCAGGTTATTGGGTTGTCTAATCAAATTCAAATGCTGATGAGGGAGTGAGAAGGCAAAGATTTGCAGTCGGCCATTAAAGAATGCTTTGGGCCTTCATATGAAGCACTCATGGGCAACTTAATGAGGTTACAGCAATAAGGGGCTTTAGCAAACTACAATGATGCCTTTGATTCCATTTCTTGCACGCTGCAACTTACACAAGAATATTTGATGGACACATATATTCGAGGATTGCATGAAGACTGTTGGTCCAATACGTCACTAAACCAAGAATGATGCAAGAAGGAAGGAGCTTGGCACAAATCCTGGAGGTTACATTGCAAAGGCAAGCTAACAAGAGGGTTTCTGTCAAGAATAGTGCAAATATGGCTACTGGAGCTAGTAGTCAGCCTCTGCACCTCAAATTTGATACAAGTCGAGTTGCTCAGGAAGATTTGAAAAGGAATGTTCTTCGTATTGCAGAACCTCAGTTGCTATAGATTCCTCATGATCATGGGTCAACCACTGCCTCAGTCTTATCATTGCAGAAGGGGTCATCATTCTCTATTATTGATTCCATGTCGCTGCTGCAAGCTTTTCCATTGTTGTCTCTTATTTCTATGGTGCCATCGCAATTCATTCTGCATGGGAATGACAATCTATTTGTGTTGACCAACTTAAAGCCTTAAATTCCTCTTGACATGGTGTGATGACAAGAATCCAAGGCTTCTTGGAGCTGTAGGGAACATCGATGGCTGTCTCAATGATGTTCTGCACTTTTCAAAGCATGGGTTCTTAGAAAATAGGGGCATGTGGACAGGTGTTAGCTTGGAAGAAGTATCACACACGTGGGTGCATGGATCAAAGACAGATATTCCCCATATGAAATGGGTATAGTGGTTGTAACCTCAGTGGATGCCAGCTATCATCAACTATCAATATATGGGCTCAAAGGTCAAATAACAAGGCCAATATCATTTGCATAGGCCCATTAACAGAGGAAATTCTTTGCTGGGATTTACTTATTCAATCTCTCCTCATTCACTTATTTGTTTTGAGGTGGTACAAAGGAGGATTGATCAAAATGCTCTTCGGATCAGGTCTGAATTGCTTCCATTTATTCAGCAATGAAAACAGTGACAGTGAATAGTAACAGTAGGCTACGTTTTTCTGTTTGATTCCTAGAAGTTGTTCCTCCCATTGCTGGACATGACCCTTTAGGCCATGGGTCTTTTTTTTTTTTTTTGGTAGGAGCGTTGTTATGACATTGTAATGGTGACATTTTATTAGCTTTATCAGTTACATTCAGAATCAAAGGAATAGCTGTTAAGGTGGTTATAGATATAGCCGTTCATAGTTATGAGGATTAGGAGCCTACATATACTTGAGATGCAATTGCAATCCTTATACGATGTTAGTCTAATGAGAATCATCGCGCTATTCAGTCTCTCCTTTGTTTCTCCTCTCTTTCCCTCTCTTTTCCATATTATTCTTCTATAACAACATATCTATGTTAGCTCTCGACAAGCTAACTGTTGGAATACGACATCTTAGGCCCATTAAGTTAAGCCCAAACATGTTAGGGTTTAAGAATAATTAGGGTTGAAGAAGCACAAGTCTGCCGTCTTAAACTCTAATTTCTTTCTTCTTATATCTTATTAATTAGATAAGATTCTAATTGATCTTGTAAATATCTCTTTGATTTTACCTTTGATTCTAGGGATTAATCGAAAGTGCTGTGTGATTAAACCTAGATAAATACCCTAGTTGTGAATAGAATAATCATCTTTTGGCCAAATTCTTCATGGTATCAAAGCATTTGGCTCTCGACTTCCTAGGCAAATGCAATTCGACATTGTGAGAGTTCACACTGTGGACGAACCTTCATCTTCCAAGATATCGCACACAGAAGGTGTGTCAATTCCAGAGCAGCAAGCCATGACAAGTAGTGATGGCTTCCCACATGTTACGGTCACTCACAAATTGACCGAAAACAACTACCTACTGTGGTCCCACAATATTCTGATGTTCATCCAAGGGAAAGGAAAGGAAAAGTACCTAATTCGAGAAGCAAAAGAACCAGAATTAGGCGATCCTACCTATTGCACGTGGATATCAGAAAATAATATGGTGATGAGTTGGCTTGTGAACTCCATGACTATGGAAGTTAGCAGCAACTACATGCTTGCCTCAACAGCACAGGAGATATGGGACTCAATGAAATGCATGTATGCTGTCAAGGAGAACCCAGCAACAATGTTTCAGCTGAAACAGGCCTTGAAAGACCTAAGGCAAGGAGATAAATCAGTCACTCAATTTTATAGCGCCCTTATGCGAATCTGGTAGCAGATAGATCTTTATGAAGTCTATCAATGATCAGTCATGCTGATGCAACACTCTACCGTCAGATTGTAGAACGGGAACACACATATGAATTTCTCTCGAGGTTGAATGATGGATTTGAAGATGTACGGGGGAGGATCATAGGACAGAAACCTTTACCTTCCCTTGAAGATACTGTCAACACCATCAAATTTGAGGAAAGTTGGAAAGAATTAGTGCAAGATATAAACCTTAATTCTTCCTTTACTCCTAGTACTAACTTAGAATCTTCTGCTATGATAGCCAAGGGTAAATGCTCTTCACTTTGGTGTGATCACTGCAACAAGAGTGGTCACACTAAGGATGAATGCTGGAAACTTCATGGGAAACTGCCCAACCTTAACAAGCAGAAAGGCAGAGGTGAAGCTCGAGGACTATATACTGGTCCTACATCTGAAAAACAGCCATTAAGCCAAGAGGAAATCACAATACTCAAGAGACTTTTTGAAAAACATGAAGTTATTCCTCAATCCAATGAGAATTCTAACCTATCCATTACTCTGGCACAAGCAAGCATGTCTCTCATAGTTGCACTTAGCACCCACACAACATCCAAGAACATTTGTATAGTCGACTCTAGTGCTGCTCATCATATTACTGGTTTTAAGGAATTATTCAGTGAGTTTAAAACTGAATCTGCATATTCTCGTGTCAAAGTTGCTAATGGGACGTATGCCAAGGTTGAAGGGGCTGGAACTGTGATAATTTCATAGGATATTAAACTACAAAATGTATTATATGTGCCTGAAATTGAATGCAATTTGGTTTCAATGAAACAAATTTCTAAGGATCTTGGTTGTAGTGCTACATTCTTTGACACTCATTGTATTTTCAGGATTTGACTTTAGAAAGGATGATTGGCAATGCTAAAGAATGGGATGGTCTCTACTACTTGAGAGGAAAGGGAGAGAGAAATAAAGTAGCAGATGTTGTTGCCTACTCTACTATATCAGATAATGAGTTGATGCTGTGGCATTATAGGTTAGGCCACCCAAGTCTCAATTATATGAAATTGTTATTTCCAGATTTATTTTATTTATTTAATAAAATAAATCCCTCCTCTTTCCACTGTGATTTTTGCTACTTTGCCAAACAAGTCCGAAACTAGTATCTACCTCATCCTTATAAACCATCCCAACCTTTTGCACTAACACACAATGACATTTGGGGACCCTCTAGAATTTCAACTACAAATAATGCTAGATGGTTTACCACTTTTATTGATGATCACACTCGCCTAACTTGGGTAATTTTGATGAAAAACAAATCTAAAGCACTTGATATTGAGAAGTGATAATGGCCATGAGCACACTAGTACAACCTTTCAAAAATACTTGTTTGAAAAGGGATTCATCATCAAACCTCTTGTGTTAACACTCCACAACAAAATGGTATAGCTAAAAGGAAAAGCAAACACCTTTTAGAAGTTTCAAGGGCTTTAATGCTTACCAATAATGTTCCAAAAATGTTTTGGGGTGAAGCTGTCTTAACTACAGCATATTTAATAAATAGAATGCCCTCAAGAATTTTAAAATTTCAAACCCCTGTACAAAGTTTTCAAGAAGTTTTTCAAAACTCTCGCCTATTGCTAAACATACCTCAAAGAATTTCTGCCTGCACCGTTTTTGTGTATGATGAGCATAAAGGAAAATTGGACCCAAGAGCTATCAAATGCATTTTTTTAGGGTGTGCAGCCTCTCAACAGGGTTACAAGTGTTATTCACCTTCCACTCACAAATTTTATATCACTATGAATGCTCGGTTTTGTGAAGATCAACCATTTTTTCAAAAATTACCCATTCAAGGGGAGAGTGAGACCAATGATGAATGGTTAATTTGTTCTGAAAATAGCAATTCTGATAAACTTGCATCTGGCAGTCCTAGTACTGAATCTAGCAGGTCCCAAATGCCACCTAAACCCCCTCTTGACCCTGCACCAATTACAATAACACCTCCTCTTCCTACAATATCAAATGACCCTCAATCACCTCAAATTGTACCCTCTGAACCTAATATCACCTCATCTGAACCTAGTATAGAGGAAGATATTCTGGAAAATTCTGGTAATACAGAAAAGAAAATCTGGAAAATTCTGGTACAAATGAGACAAGAGTGGAACAACCTAATATGCAAGAGAAAGAACCTTACATCAGGCAAAATAAGCGCACTATATTGGAGGATCGATCACAATTTAGGCGAAACAAGGGCACTAAACAGAATGTGAATGAAAGTAGTGACCAAACTATTTCCATGCAAGTCCAAGAATCCAAACCCGAGGCAAGTTCTAAAGACTTATCTTGGCCAATTTCCTTAAGGAAAGGCAAACGAACATGCACTCAGCATCCTATTTGCAAGTATGTTTCTATAAGAAACTCTCTCGTCCTATGAAATCCTTTGTGGCTAACGTGACCAATGAGAAAATACCAAAAACCTTTGAGGAAGGAAAAGAAGATCCTAAATGAACAGCAGCAATACAAGAGGAGTAGCAAGCATTAAGAAAGAATCAAATCTGGAGTATTACCAATCTACCCAAAGGGAAAACTATTGCGGGTTGTAAGTGGGTGTTCACCATCAAATACAACATTGATGGGACTGTCAACAAGCACAAAGCAAGACTCATAGCCAAAGGATACACCCAAACTCAAGGCATAGATTACCAAGAGACATTTGCTCCAGTTGCCAAGTTCAACACCATTAAGGTTCTTTTATCACTAGCTGCAAACCTTGATTGGCGGTTACTACAACTAGATGTGAAAGATGCATTCTTAAATTGTGACCTAGACGAGGAAGTTTACATGGAATTACCACCTGGGCTAAAGGAAGTGGAAGACCTGGACAAGTTTGTAAATTGGAAAAATCTTTGTATAGCCTAAACAATCCCCTCAAGCCTGGTTTGGACGTTTTACACAAGCAGTCAAAGAGTATGGTTATACTCAGTGTCAAATCAGATCATACTTTGTTTGTGAAACATAACTGTGATAAAGTTGCTATCCTGATTGTGTAAGTAGATGATATTGTATTGACAGGAAATGACTTAGAAGAGATTGAAAAATTGAAGGCAAATCTGGCAAAGGAATTTGAAGTTAAAGACCTTGGAAAACCTAAGATACTTCTTGGGTCTAGAAGTAGCAAGATCAGAAAAGGGGATCAGCATCTCACAAAGGAAATATACACTTGATTCATTGATGGAAACAGGGTTGTTAGGGTCAAAGCTTGTGGATATACCTATGGAGACCAACTACAAAAAGAACTTGAGAAGAAAGAAAGGAAAAGAAGGATCACCCGTAAACAAAGGGAGGTACCAGAGACTAGTAGGAAAACTCATCTATTTATCCTACACAAGGCCAGACTTCAATTTTGCAATTGGTGTGGTCAGTCAATTCTCAAATGACCCACGTAAAGAGCACATGAAAGCAGCTTTCAGGATTTTAAGATACTTAAAGAAGACTCCTGGAAAAGGACTGTTCTTTAGAAAAGGAAACAACAAGAATGGAGAAGTCTGCAATGTTGCAGATTGGGGTGGCTCTGTAGTTAACAGACGCTCTACTACTGGATATTGTACCTTTGTTTGGGGCAATCTTGTGACTTGGAGGAGCAAAAAGCAACCAGTGGTCACAAGAAGCTCAGCAAAATCAGAGTACAGATCTCTAGCTCTGGGCATATGTGAAGGAATGTGGATCATGAGACTCCTAAAGGACCTACACATTGAAATAAAGGGACCTTACAAGGTATGGTGTGATAACATGTCAGTAATAAAGATTGCACATAATCCGGTACATCACGATAGAATCAAACATGTGGAGATCAATCGCCATTTTATAACTGAGAAAGTTGAAACAAAAGTGATTGACTTGGCCTATATACCTTCAAAAGATCAGATTGCCGACATCATGACCAAGCCACTTGCGAGAGAACGTTTTAAGAACTAAGTGACAAGTTGGGAATGATTAATATCTATTCACCAACTTGAGGGAGAGTGTTGGAATACGACATCTTGGGCCCATTAGGTTAAGCCCAAACATGTTAGGGTTTAAGAATAATTAAGGGTTGAAGAAGCACAAACCTGCCATCTTAGACTCTTATTTCTTTCCTATTATATCTTATTAATTAAATAAGATTCTAATTGATCTTGTAAATATCTCTTTGATTTTACCTTTGACTCTAGGGATTAACCGAAAGTGCTGTGTGGTTAAACCTAGATAAATACCTTAGTTGTGAATAGAATAATCATCTTTTGCCCAAATTCTTCACTAACAAAGCCAAGAGCTAGATTCTCTGTTAATCCTAGGAAGAAAAGAATCTCCTAGAGGAATGATTTTGAAAGTTTAAGCCATTCAAAGAACATTTTCATAACACCCTCCACGACAACACAAGCCCTCTCTTTAAGGCTTGTGTGGACCAAGCACAGGCCCACCAAACACTACAATGAAAGTATGTTTTAATTAAACCAATGCTAGTTGGATGTTTAAGTGGTTTGACATTTGTTTTCCTCAAGCAAGATTTCTAGTTGAAGTCTCATGTGAAGAAAATTTCCCTCAAGAGAGATTTAAATGTATGGGGTTCAACCATTCATAGGTTATTCGGTGTCAAATTTGACTTTCAGAAACCAATTGGTATTATTGAAAAAACAAAGTTAATTTTAATTAGGAGAAGGGAGAAGAAACAAGAATCAAACTATAGCGACATTGGGCCTATTTGAAACTGTTATTTTATTTTCTAAGAACTAGTGTTTTGTAGAGCATATTCCGAGAATGAAAAAATAATGAAAATAGATGTTTTTCTCATTCTTTCTTATTCTCCAAAATAATAATTCCAAAACACCTAAAAAATGTTTCCATTTTTCTATTCTCCATAACAATATTTTGTTTCTTTATTTTCTAAAATACTTTTTGAAAACGCATCACCAAATAAATTTTTTGTTTGTTTTTTTGGTTCTAGAAAACAAAAAATTGTTTCCAAAACAGGTTGCGAAATAGGTCCATCATCACTGAGACACTTGTTCAATATTGAGGACCACTACATACCAAAAGCTTGCATTCTTAAGTGATGACCCATGATTGCTTCTAGAATATTTCTGACACAATTTAAGAGGAATTTTTCTTCTTTTTCAATTGCATTATATGTAGAACTTTTACTTGACAATTACAAACTCCCCAGCTACTAACTAACAGCTTTTCTGTTTTTGTCCACACAACAGTCTTTCATCCACCTAGCCCTATTTTCACATCACTGGACCTTGGCCTTCAAGCTCAACACATCTTTGATCCACAATGGCCAATGGAATCAAAATATAAATTGAAAAATCAGCATGTAAAAGTGGTTCCAACAATAATAAAGGATCTTTCTTTGCTTTTCTGAGGAAGAGAGATGAACCAAAACCCAATTACTGCCCTAAAAGACATCTCAGAAGTCTTATCTTCTTTTTGTAATTGCTGCAAGTTTGATTAGTGAATGACGGGCTACCCTGCAAGTCATTATCATGTAACGCTTTGAAACAGGGATCACATTAATAGTACCATGGCAGGGCTTGTTATACCAAAAGTGTGGGATTTCAATCAGCAACCCTTTCCCAAGTGTGAATCATGAATGATGGGGAAAGAATAGGTATCCATTTCATTGTTTCCTAACTTTCCTTAATTTATTTGTAGACCTCACTGGCTGACAATACCAGGTTGCTACTACATCAATTGTTAATCCGTACTATCCAAACTCTAACACATCCAATGTTCTTGCTTCATACAGCTATCTTAATCTAGGCCTTTCATCTAACATCTATTATACATTCTACCTAACTTCACTACTACCAGATACAAGCAGTTTCCGTTGGCATCTACCTAAAACTCTTCCATTCACCTAAGCCCCCTTTTCACCTTACTGGGCCTTGGTCTGAACATCCTTGCAAATAACTTTTTGCCCACACAACAATCCACCTTACAGTAAACTACAACAATTTAGTCGTATTTTTTACTGTTATTATCCGTGAGTGTTGCTCAAACCTCAAAAAGTTGCATAATGTGGACGTTAAACTGCTAAATACTACAGATAGGGAGGTTATAGAAAAGGCGATCGACATTGATACTGTGCTTCAGGATAACAAATATGAAATCCTGCATTTTTTGCTTTCAAATTATCAAAATAGAAAACTACGCAGTATTCTTACTAATTGTTCAAGGTAGAAATAAAAAATTAAAAAAAACAAGAAATAATACATGATGGATCATCAGCTATCATTTAAGGATAAAATCATACAACCTCGTCATCTTTCTTGCTGTGACTTTCACCTCCACTGCGGAATTCATCCTCTTGCTGTGACTTCTCCTTCATTAGCCTAAATCCCAATTAACCTGTATTCAGATGCAGAGCAAAGTAGCTTAGGCTTGAATGCGGAAGGAAAAGAAAAAATATACAAGAAACCTCGGGTAGAAACGAACCTGCAGAAGTGAAGATGATGGTGGAGGAAAGATTATGGAAGGCGAAGAAGAAACCTCGGGCGAAAATTCGACAGATCTCTTCAAAGACCAGGATATTTTTTCAAGGAGGAGAAGGGCAGAAGGCGATGGTCACGGACTCACGGTGATGTGGAGAAGACTGACGAGTGGCGAGACGACGGTGGCGAGGCGAACCGGTAGTGATTCGCTCGAAGGCTGTGAAGGCTGAAGGAGAGCTTCGCTGGCGATGAGAACTAGAGAAATGAGAAGAGTGTGCTTTGCTTTCGAGTTTCTACGATGAGAAGATTTTACAGGGTTAAAATGGAAAAGTGGAAAATAAACTATAGGCAGGATGAAAATAAAGTCTCAACAAATAATAAACAATTTATGACCAGGTGCTTCCTAAAAATTCAAAAAAATAAATTATAAATAAGTTCTCAATTACAAATTGATTTTGTAAAAAATTTTATTAAGAATTTAATTATCATAGTTTATTATTTTAAGATTTTAATATCATTCCTCCAAAACTTTAAGACAAGTGACATTTAACTAAGGAAATATATTTATTGAAATTAAAATTAAAAAATTGTAAAAAAAATAAATTGAAAATTGACAAAAGAAATACCTTGAAATATGAAAATGACAATGAAGTGCCACGAAATATGGTAATTATTACTCTCTTCGTTTAAAAATATAAAGTATTTTTTTAGAAGTTGAATGTTTGAAAATATAATATATTTTTAAATTTTCAAAGTGTAATTATTATCTTTTTTTTAAAATACCCTTATTACATAAATTACTTTATATTTATTTTAGGATAAAGCACATTATATATAGAGGTAAATATAAAAACATAGAGACAAGTAACTATTTTATTGATAATGAGATTCGATTAAAAATACTTTATATTTTTAAATGAATGAAATATTTTGTTCATATGAGCTTGTTTGACATTTTCATTTTTAATAAAATGATGTGCTTGTCCTCCATGACTCTTATACATTGAGAAATAACTACTATTATTGACTAAAATAGAATTGAAAATAACTAATTCATTTTTGCAAATTTATTTATTAATCAAGTGTAATTAAAGTAATTATTTTCCAAAAGAAAGTATTATTTTCCGAGGAAAAAAGTTGTCATTTTTTAATATGCTTATCTCTATTAACTAAGTCCCCAGCTCCTAAGAGACACACACAAAGTCTTCATTTTAATGTTATCAAATTCAATAATGTTCACTCTACAGACATTATTAGCATTATTGTTGGAAGGATTTAAATCCTCTAAAATTGATAACTGTGAATTTCAGTAAAGTTTACCTTTTAAAATAAAGAAAAAATATTTTATATTTTATAAAAAATAATAAAATGATAAAAAACAATACAAAATAAAAAAATTCACAAAAAATCACACATCTCAACTTCAAATAATTTAAATCCATTGTTAGAATCATCTTGAGTTGAAAGCTCAAGTACAGATGTAGAAGCTCTATAAGTACAAATGTTGGGAAATTAGAGAGTATATGTAGGAGCTACAAGTGATATAGAACACAATGACTTGAAAGTTCAGAAGTTTCTGGCTAGATTTAATTACTTCACACTTTTGTAATTTCATCTGTTCTATAATTGAATATAACAGCTTTGGATTCAACTCTGAAAGGATACATTTTCAATTCTTAAAAGTATCCAACATATTTTGGCCACATTTAAAAAAAAAAAAAGTATCCAACACACAGTTATTTACAATCATTGCATTGTTTTTAATATTTTCTATCTCCCTTGCACCTTTGTGAAAGTGACATTGTTGACAGAGCATGACCTATTGCTCTGTTCAGATGACTCTGCATTCTGCAAAACCTTCCTCTGTATGGATCCAGGTTGACATGGCAATGGAAGATTTTCATTGTCATTATTAAGCATTGAATTTACTGTTTCCATAGAAGGCCTATTTTTTGCATGTTCTTGAACACATAGAAACCTAATGTGCATGCATCTAACAATGTCTCTATCATGCCTAAAAAATATAAGGTGACCGACATGGGTGCGAACCACTTCACACATTTCTGTAAGTGTCAAAATGAAAGTGCAATCCATTTTTTTATTTTCATTTTTCTTTTAGAAGAATCAATCAAATTATATAAAAATTCTAATAGCTCGATACTAATTGTCATATGAAAGCTTCAACGTTTTTATGAAAATTTTAGGAGAACCTCCCCTGTAACTAGGATCTCTCGAAAATTCTACGACAGAAAATTTTTACAGATTATAGTATAAATCAGGAGCGTAGCTCCTTCCAGCCAATAACTAGTATGCAAATTAAAATAAAGTCTATCAATAATCTATGTGGAGCAACTAATCTTTCTTTTTGAATCGAAATACATAGGGTTTAAATATTGACATAAAAAATAACGATACCAAACAAAAATTCCACCTAATATCGCCATATTGTCCTTTCAGAGGTTGGTAGGATCAATGTCAACTAGTAAATCTGAGACCAAAATAAATTTTTTAATAAATAGCATGCTTAGAGTAAAATTTAAAAGAATTAAAATAATAAACTCAAATAATCATATAAACTAGTTAAAAAGATGATAATTCATAATAATAAACTTATAAATTTGTAAATCATAATCATAACCATAAAATGAGAGTAAATTAAAAGTAGTTTATTTTATTGTGCTTCAAGAAAACAATTTATTCGTAAATGAATCAAAGTGATATATTTGTTAATCAAAATCATGAAAATTTCAAAAACACATATTAGTCAACATTTAAAGTTTTTGAAAACTCAATAGAACAGGTAACAAATGTGGACACACAGTCTATAAGGATAAATAACCAAACATAGCCAAAGCTACAAAAACAAACGTGGACACACAATCCACGAGGATAATACTAACTAAACACAGCTTAGGCCACGAAATCAAAAATGCGAGTATAAAGCCCATGAATATCAAATATGAGAACAAAGCCCATGAAACAAACTAGCTAATTTTTAACCACAGCACACTACGGGCTAACAGAATTGTCGTTAGCAGCAGTGTTCTGTATAGAGTCCTCTTAAAAATCTCATTTCAAACATGCGAGAGAAATAATTATGCTTGAAGTAAAATTTGTGTTCTCAATATCAAACTCGCGTGAATTGCTTCAAATATGTAAAACTTGCCAATTTGATATATCATAGTGAACGTCCAAATTTACATCAATTGTGTAACCAAGAATTTTTTTAAAAAAATTCAATAAACAAAGATGCCATCATCAATATTAGAAATACATTTCTTGAAGGAAAAATAAATGCACAAATCATAATATACTCCTTCATCATTGTTCCAAAATTTCTAAAACTAACATAATTCATAAAAATAGGATATTTCAATGAAAGATTATTAATAAATAATTAAGTGGAATGCTATTCACTTATTCTTTGGAGTTCTAAATTCTCAAAAATATTCTTCTTTTAATTCTTGTCAAGGACTTATTCTTCCGCACACTCTATAAGAATATAAATAAATACATTTTCAATAATATTTTAATTTATAACACAATTTCTACCAACCACCATCTAAAATTCAAAACCAAATTTATGATTTAAAGTTAGTTCAAGCATCATCATTCATTCCTCTAACTTCCTCTATAAAACTTTAACCATGCCATTCTATTTTCTTGAAACAGAAGTTTACTTTTACCTCTTCAATTTAAAACCTTCAACAATTTACCAAAAATCAAACAAGCTCCAAGTATACAAATAACTGCATGCAAGCCCATAATTAAATTCCTTTATAGATCTACAGGTTAATTCCTAAACTAATAGTTTCCATCAATATTCAGAAGTTAAATTTTATTTCCTCGTACAAGCCCTTCAACAACATCTCATAGGCACCAACAATATATCTAAGCTTTTCTCTTCCAATTTCACCTCAATAAATTCTTTAACATCAACCAAATCAAACAAAATTAATTTAACTCCAAAATTATGACCCATATCTATCACCATCATCTTTAATACTAATGTATATTTTTGTTTATTCAGTCATGGACAACAACAGAAAATCAAGAGATGAAAAGCAAGTTGAATATTATTTCATCACACATACAAGTGCGTTAGTTATCAAGAAGAAAGAGAGAAGGGATCAAGACCCTTCACCTCAAATAAACCAACGACATACAGTAGGGGAGGAGGACAATGAAATTCACAACTAAGCAAGAGGAAAAAAACAAAGTACTACTCGAAAGAAAGTAAAGAAAATAGAATCCACTTCAACTCCATTTCATGACCAGTACCACTAATTTCCAACAAGCTGATTTCTTCCATTCATCAACAATAGGTGAATGAAATTTGTGAGAACAGAGCAATAATCAAAATCGAGTAGAAGAAGCATAACAAACCAAGAACATAGCTGAGAAACTTAACAGTAGCACAAGAAAAAGGATCCCATAATCTGTACCTCAACCCAGCGATATGCTATAAGCTCGAATAAGGAGGAAGGAAAAGATTTTTTTCTGGCGTTCAGTAACAAGAAAATGAGCTCTACTCATACCAGCTGCGGATAGATTGACAACAAAGGCTCACGCTAGTGATGATTGAGAATGCAAGGGAAGGAAGCGGAGACACAAAGGAAGAGTGAAGGAATGAAGCATGAGGCAGAGCACTTGATAGATCTAGAATGATCGAAAAAGGGATGAAATTTTTTTTATTAGATTGAAGAGGGGCAGTTTGGTAATTTCAGAAAGCCAAAACAAAATAAAATCCCTCTTTTTGTCTTAGCCAAATTCAAACTTGGGACGTAATGGTTGGGTTATTGTACTATACCACTACACCAACACTCTATATTATTATATTTCTTCTAAGAATTAATATAATTACTATTAAAACACAAATTTATATCTCTAATTATTATTAAAAAAATTTTTGGGTTATTACAGTCTTTGACAAAATCTGGATAAGATATTTCTAAGTCTATGAGAGATTGGATATCATCTTCATTCCATAATTTCCATGCCTTAAAGGAAATGCAATAATCTATATTAGCATAAAAAGCAATAGTTTATAGATTTATGCTATCAAAACAATGCCATAATTAATTTGGATAGGCTTACAAGTTCCACGAGGTTAGTTGAATGTTTATGATCACAAATGCTTGTGTTTTTTCTACTACTGATGATTTCCAAGAGCAGAACTCTAAAGCTAAAGACATACAATTTCTCTAAAAAGAGTCCTTTTATTGCATATTAAGGTGACATATAACTACTGTATTTAATCATCCATAATAAATTTCAACTCC